CTTTCTCCTCCTCTTTCCTAGATCTTCGTCTTTTTGACTTAACGACACCATCTATTGTATCGTCATTCCCTCATAAAGTCCACCCCTGCCCCTGCCTTTGTCTGTCTCCCTTTATCCCTCTCTCCCTCCCTCCCGCCTTCCTTCCCTCAGCGCCCTACCATGGTGGCCAGTGGAAGGTCCATGTCACCCTTCCACTCGATTATCCTTTCAAGTCTCCGTCCATTGGATTCAGCAACCGCCTTTTCCATCCCAATGTGGACGAGATGTAAGTCCTTTCCGGCCCTTTTTCCCTCGATAGATCTCTCTCTCCTCCTTCTGCCTTGGGCTTCCTACTTTTCCCTCGTGTCTCCTCACTCTCCTCCTTCTGCCTTGGGCTTCTTTGCTCTTCCCTCGTGTCTCCTCACTCTCCTCCTTCTGCCTTGGGCTTCCTACTTGTTCCTCGCTTGTTTTCTCTCCTTCCATCCCGCCTTGCCTGGGCGCGATCTTTCTCAGTGGTCGTGTTGCTCACCTTAACTTTGTGTCCGCCTCTTTCAACGCCTTTTGTCCTCCATCAATAGGTCCGGTTCTGTCTGCTTGGATGTCATAAATCAAGCCTGGACCCCGATGTACGGTGAGTGTCAAAGGTGGGAGGGACGGAGGGAGGGAAGGAGCGAGAGGGGGGGAGGGAAGAATGCTAGTCAGGCTCCACATCGGTGGGCAACTGATTGTCTCCTCTTCCTTCTCCCTCCACTCCTACACGTCCTTGCTACGTCTATCCCACTTTTCCTCCTTCTCCATCCCCCCTTTCCTCGCTCGCTCCCACCTCGCATCCTCCCTTCAGACCTGGTCAACGTGTTCGAGACCTTCCTGCCTCAGCTCCTGCGCTATCCCAACCCCAGTGATCCACTCAACGCGGACGGTGAGAGAAAGAGGGAGGGAGGGAAGGTAGAAAGTAGGGAAAAAGACCAGATAGTGAGGGGTCACAGGCCGCGCCGCGAACCTAAATACCTACCTCGAGCACTTCTGATCCCCCCTCCCTCCCTTCCTCCCCACTTTCCTCCCTCCTTCCCTCGTCCTTAGCGGCCAACCTTCTGCTGCGTGATCCAGAGGGATACCATGCCCGGGTCCACGGTAAGGGGACGAGAGGGGGAGGGAGCGGAGGGACAAAGGACTGAACGAAGAATAAATTTTTCGGTGGGAGAGGAGAAAGAGGGCAAGAAGGACGAACGAAAAGGATGGAATGTTGGAAGAATGCTTCGGAGGAATCCTCTCACAGAGCCTCGGCGCGCTTGTGAGCATGGAATGCGCTTTCTTCCCCTCTCCCTTCCATCTTGCCTCTTGTCATCCTTCCCTGCTTTGATTGTATTTTATCGCCCGTCCTCGCTTCCTTTCCTTGTGCCCCCTTTATCAGATTACGTGCGGAGGTACGCGTCGGTCGGGCTCTTTCTCGACGAGGAAGACAAGGCGGGAAGGAGCGAGCGAGAGCGGGAAGCAGGGAGGCCCACACAGAGCTCGCCAGCGCCTTCTGCAGGAGTGCCACGACAGCATCCGCACCGAGGCAGACAACCCTCATTGTCCTCGTCAGTGGTAGGTGGGGTGGGGGGGGGGAACAAAGGG